GATCACTCTTCCTGGCAAGTGGGTCGTACCGCCGCACTACACCGGGAGCACCAGGATGTCGATCCCTTTCACGGGATTGAGAGCCCGATCGTGACCTCTGCTCATGAAAGGTCTGGTACATCTGAAGCGTGTTCTGGCGCTTTTGCCATCGTTCGACACAGTCCTGACAAGCCTTATAAAGCCACGCGAATGACCTAACGGTCACATCGCGATCCCACCTCTCGATGTCGGGCCGCATACAGCGTAGATGACGAACGTTCTCGATGAACACAGCTAACAGTACCCCATCATCGATCTTCTTCCTAATCCCAGAAATGAGATTGTCCCAGGTGCTCAGATAACTCCGGAGCCTTGCTTCATCATCAGAGTGACCCGTCTGCCGGCACTTGAGACTGGTCAACTCAGCAATCTTGAAGGTCTGGTCGTCCTCGACTCCAGTCTGCAGGTGGTTCAGCAGAAGCTTCAAGATCTGCCTCCCCTTGATACCCTGAGCGGGATTCATATTCTGAGCGGCTTCGGTCAGGCGATTCATCTTGTCCCTAACAGCCCTGGTCTTGATGCACTCCCTGATAGCACTCGTGAAGTTTGAATCCAAAATCGGGTACTTGCAGGGTCCGCCAAGAGCATCATAGTCGAGTCTCTCAGTCTCTGAAATCCACGCTAACGCGTAGTCAGAGTCAAAGCTGAAAGCGTTCCTGACCCTCTCTTTGATCTCTGAAAGCCACTCCCGCAGCTTATCAGCTGTCGGCTCAGCAGGCAGCACGATCGTGTTGCACTTGTGATGGAACCGGTCCTTATCGACAACGGTGGAAATAAGAGCCCCTATCGGGGTACACGAGGTAATCCTGCAACTTTCACACAGTCTAGCAGGCATAGGGCAGCAAACTTCACACGCCCTCATTCCACAACCAACGCAAGGAACAAGAGGGAAACCAGGCTCAGGGATCCTGTTACACTTAGTGCACCTGTCCCGTCCATCATCTCCCCTCAAGGCTTCAGGGAGAAGACCACCATCTCCCTGCCTACCGGCACCATTCACACTATAGCCGAGGCTAAGACCCGGCCCAAGGTTACCACCGCTCGCAACACTTGAGGGGTAACCCGTGGCATTGCTAGACTGACTAACGCCAGCGCCAACCCCTTGGTGACTAACGCCACCTCCGTAGGCAGGACCATAGAAGCTGGAACCACATTGATTGATCCCAGCTCCATGAGTATCAGCAGCACTGCCATGGAACCCGGGTGCTCCACCACAATAACCCCCGGTAGGTGCCCCTCCACTCGGGCCGCCCCCTGGCGGGACCTTGGCCTCCGCCAGGATGTCCAGGACCTGGTGGTGGATGTGGAGCATGTCCATGACCACCGCTTCCGCTCCCGCCTTGACCAGGTGGTCCGCCTTGCCCACCACCTCCCCCAGGAGGAGGAGGAGGGGGCGGTCCAGCTTGAGCGCGTTCATGCCGAATATTGCAGCGCGCGCATCGCTCAAGGCCGTCATCTCCAAAGTAACTATGATTCTCACAGACGTGGGTCCCACAATCCGTGCAGAAATACATGGAGACCTCCTGAGCATTCTTGCGACACGCCCAGCACTTCATTTTCAAAAACTGACAATTACTACAATCACCATCATCGCCCCGGCAAAGCCTGCAAAACTCACGATTGCATGTAACACATGAAAATTCAGCGTCCGGGTGCCTACGGTCGTTGGGGTCATCAAGGGCGCAAATCTTTGGCACACCTGGGCCACCGGCACCGGGAGCGCCTCTCGTGGCCGGTTCCGGGGCCTGTCCACGATCAGATGGAGCTCCAGGGGCCCTCCACCTCTCGCCGGGACTCGGGACGTCTGCACTAGCTCTGCTCCCAGGAGTCCTCCAGTCATCGCCGGGACTCTGGGTATCGACATGGGCCCTAATACCCCTACCACCTCCTGGATGACGGTCTGGGTTCGGAGAGACGTCCCCGCTATCGCGGATCGGTCTATCCAGGTTCGGAGAGATGCTCCCGCTATCGCGGATTGGCCTCTCCCCCCTTGATTGCCGACTTCGGACCTCAGATCCCCTATCGGGGACGGCGGCAGGCCTCGGGCTCCTATTCCTACCCACATCCCTATTTGGAGAAACAGAAAAGTCCCCCCTTGCGCGCGCGCGGGGGCCATCCCTCGCACGCCCTGGCGGTGAATGCGACCTGTCAGGTAATCCTCGAGCCCTCCGGCTTCTGCTTTCGGACCCCTCCCTAATGGGATATATTGGATGCCTGTCTGCACGAGAAGGATCGACCCTATCGGGCACATTCGGCAAAACCTGGTCAGTCAAACCAACACCTCCGCCTGGTCTCACCGGACGGCCAGTACCCCGGCCGTCACCTTCCCCGGGTGTGGGCGTCGGAGACCTGATCCTATGTCCCTGCCCCGCAAATGCATCGTAACCAACATTCCGTCTCTCTCTGGGTTGTTGAGGAGCCTCATTAATCTGCTGGACACCCTGAATGATGCCAGCGGCCTCGTCAAATTGACCCTCCATTTCAAAGAGCTGAGACATGATTCTGTTGTTCGCTGCGCTAAGATTACGCACGTTACCATCGATAGCGCTGACTCTCCGCATAACGCCTTCAAGCGTACTCCGGAACGAGCCGAGTTCTCGCCTAACGGCAGGCTGCACTTGGTCACTGCTTGCAGGAAGATTACGGATCTGTCCTTGAATACCATCAACGACCCGATTCACAATTGCCGATCTCGCTTCATACTGTTCAACATGTGATTTCACGGTCTCAAACCTTGAAATGATGTCGTCATGATCCCGACGTTGACGTTGAATTCCTCGAGCCAGATCCTGCATCTTCCGATTGATCTCGTCAATAGCCTCATGCCAGTCCTGCGGGGAATCATGTTCTGATGGTCTATCGACCTCCTGAGAACCCCTTCCACTCTGCAGTCTCGACACTCGATTAACAAGACGAGTGTGCTCTTCTTTGATCCCTTCAATAGATTCAGAGGCCCACTTGGCAAATGTCTCGTGTTCAAGGAGAGCTTTCTCGATCTTCAGGTTTAACTCCCTGAAATTTGCATCCACTACACTGCCGCTGGCCCTATCGGACGGATGCGCGACAGGATTCGGGTTCCATACACCTGCTGGTGTCCGCATCCCAACGGTTTTCTCTACCGAGAACATCCGTTTCTCAAGCTTGTCCAAATCCTTAAGGATCTCGTCCTCAGAAGCAGCATGGCTTCTGCGGGCAGCCTCACTATTCTCCTGAATCATCAGGCGAAGCCGATCAGTCGATGCCTCATTGTCCTTGACAGATTCATGGACCTCGTGGGACAGTAGGTTAATCCTCTGCTCCACGACCTCGGCTTGCTCATCGATGGCTTGCCTCACAATGGCCCTGCTATCGGGAATAACTTCCCTTGCGAACCGTTGAACTATCATTCGCATCCTCCCGGCATCAGATTGAGTCGCAACCTCAGCTGCCAGTCGATCGACCTTGTACTTCGTCTGTTGATTCTCGTCGCTCCATTCCCTTCTCATGGAACTCACTTGACCGTTCAGTAACCTGATCTGGTCAGCAAAAATATGGAACGCTTTCGCGACTGAGCCAGAAACCTCACCTCTCTCGAGCATCTCCTGGATGTGCAAATCGAACACCTCCTTTGCCCTAGCGTCACCTGATTCACCGGAAGAATGAGACCTGAGTGCTGGAGGAGTCGATATCTCGATCCTCTCAGGAGCCCCACTAGCTCTAGCATATCTTCTGGGGTCATCCACAGGACTATCACCAGCCCCAGATGGCCTGCTAGGGGTAGAACCCCTTCTACGGCTATCGCCGGAACGGGGATCAACATGGGACGCACGAGACTCGGGAGTAGAGTGGATGTGAACATCAGCAGGATCAGGCATCTCCTCATCCTGCGGAGTTGAGTCCATTGGTGAGGGGCTAGCCCTCCTCGCCTTCGACCTATCGGTCTCAATGGCCAGGGGTGACGGTCTCTTCGCAGAAGCACTACGTTCCCTGGCGGTCGAGCCCCATTGAGGTGTGAACTCGTTGCTGGACCTTAGCGTTTCAAGGTCACTGGTATCTCGCCCTAACGGGCTAGCGATCGACGGACGATCCTCGATTCCGAGTGCATCGGCAAGCCGGCCATCTCTTGCACCTCTCCCAACGACATCGGCAACCCGCTCAGTGACTCTCGGCGAACCAGTAACCCGGTTCGAGTTCACGTCTCTCTGATTTAACGGACCTCCAAACGTAATGTTGGGAAAAGGGGGAACATTCGGGGTATCACCAATCGCCGGGGGACCTACCGGTCCCTCACGGTCATGGATGGCCTCCAATCCCCGAAGAACTTCCCGACTGTCCCTGGCTCTCTCTCTCTCGCTTCGGGCATCCCTGTCAACGCGAAGGTCCCTGGCGGCTCCACGAGAGAGGCTCCTGGGTCCTTCGAGATCGTGGGGTCGACATAGAGCTTGTAGTTGATGGTCTCAAGCGCGTAGGAAAGTCCTACGGCTGATAACCTGTGATTCGGGCACGAACCTGTGCCCAGGCAATGGGTAAGTTGGGGTAAACAAGCCACAAAAGAAAGGTTCCCCAAAAGCAAACCAATCCCCGGTCCCAAAGATCAGGGTTTCCCACACACCAGAGAACAACAACCAAAGGAAAACAAACCAAACCAGAAAAGGATACCCGCAACCTAGATCGACGATGAACCGCACGGGCGATCCCCACCAACCTACCCCGGGCCGAAGTCTCTTTCTCCTCCGACACGAAGGCGGTCGACGTGAGGGCCCGGCGACGCTCATCCGAGGCGCGCCGGATCCAAAACTTGAGCCAAAACACCACAGGTCGGTCACTAACGCGACGTCCCTGATGATGATATGAACCATGGCTAATCACACAAACAAACAAACAAACAAAACAAAACAAACACAACCTTGATACCTTGAGCATATGCATATCGTGCAATATTTTATCTGCGCGCGCGTAATGGCAAGAGGGCATCCAAGTCTTCACTCATCATCAGCAGCCGCCTGAATATGTGGATTTGGGCGTGACAAATGGAGTTTGGCTTTCTTGCCGACTTTCCTTTTGACCTTGTGCTTCCCGAAATAAGCAAACCTTAAAATAGGTGCCAACTCGAATGAAAAACACATTTTCGGAAAAAATGGGCTTCGGTGTACTTCTTTTGGCCTCCTGTTCAACCCACCAAAAAAACAGGCGGCCAACTCCAAGAAAAAACCACATATTCGGGGGAAAAAAAAAACATGGGCTTCGGTGTTCCTTTAAAGACGAAATGGAAATTTCGCCGGTCGCCTGCACATCGGCGGCCAGGGTGTTCATCGCCTCCTCCGCTTCCGGGCGCACCATCTCCACGCCCACGTCGCCGTCCCCATCGCCGTGGAGCTCCATGAGCTTGGTGATGTCGAACTTCGGCTTCTTCAGGATTTTCACCTCTCACCATAAACTTGAGAATATGTTGAAACAAACTTCTTTCGCCAATATATACTCACCTAGAACCATATAGGTTCATGCCTTTGGTTCTTGAAGCAACATGGCTATTAAGGGACTCTGAGGCGTTTCTTGGGAAATGCCCCCTTTTTCAGGTTGGTTTGCAGGGAATCCAAAGGGTCCAACCCATTGAGATTCATGCCCAGTTGGGCAGCGCTGGAAACCCATTGATATTGATTCTACTGAGGTTGTTAACCGCACGACAACCCTCCTAAAACCAGGTACTAGAACCACCCACAACAATGGCCAATGCGGGTTTTGCGCATTACTCACCCGAGCCACCTCAAGATTGTGAACGTTTCCCGGGTTTGGTGGAAAACTTGAGTAGGACCCTAAACCCATTGACTTTAGGCTCTGCCAAGTTCTAAGGATTTTTAGAAATTGTAAGGATTACTATAATCGCCAAACCAGGTAGTAGAACTACGTGGCAACGTTCTCGCCTTGGCTTCTTTCGTGATAAAGGATAAAACCCAAACTCCATGTTTGGTCGGCTCCCGGATGTTCTATTTGGGTATCAACTTTAATCAGGGTTGCCGTGGACATCGTAATTTGCTGGGGATTCATGAATCCACCAACCACTTTTCAGCGAGTTCCCCAATTGAATTTCCCGGCCACGAGCATTGGCCCCACCTTCCGGATGAGCACATCCTTCAGAGGGAAGGTGCCCTGGGCCTGCTTCTCAATGGCCTTGCCGATGGACTCCGGGATGAGCTTCTTCACCAGCTCCCGCAGTTGCACCTTGTTGGCCTCGAATGCGCTTCCAAAGGGAGGTTGTTGAAGCAATAGTGGTGGCTGCACCATGGTTGGGTACAACTTGTGGTTAAACATCCAGTTGGCGCAATTCCTTTTTTGGGACAGCCGGGGTTGGTTCAAAACAAGTTTGAACTATTGTGGACCCCTGGTCCCCAATTCCTTTAAAGAGAAACCAAAAGGAGGTTGTTTAAACTCGTGGTTGAAGCCGTTGTTGAAGCAAGGGCTTGAATCGCCCAGCCTCTTGCGTCATGATCTCCACCATCTTTGCGCGGATCTTGCGGATCTGAGCGGACTGGGCATAGCAGTTGGCCTTCACCTGCACAAACGATGGTTCCAAAAGGAAGCTCGCATTAATCTGGCCCAGGGTGTTTCTCAATTTAGCAAGATGGCAAGGGTTTCCTGTTGGCTTTCCTTTGAATACCCACTACCCACCATTTTGGGGTCCAAAATCCATGTGCTTTATGGGCTTTTTTGACGTATTGCTAGTTAGAAAAGTGATCATGCTTAGTGCTTAGATTAGCTACAATTACAATGTCACTTAGATATGATGTATATTCAAGGTGTAATTCATCAAAGCAAATAACGTGTAAAGCTATTGACTAAATTCAAACATCAATAAATAATAATTTCCCTTAATCTGAGAAATATGTTTATTTTGTATCAAGTTCTGTTCGTGAAGAATATGCTAACTTGGTCTGAAATACATATGTGTTTAACAATATACAGTGTGCTGGTTTTTTTGTTTGGCTTGTTTTGTGAAAACAACATATATTGATTGTTTTGTGTAATCTTGTGTTTTCGTGTGTCTGAATGTCTTGACCAAAATGTCATGGTCACGGAATGTCAAATTGAACTGTCCGCAATGATATTCTTCAATATCATATACAAGCAAATTCTAGCAAAGGATTGCCATACAATTCTCAACCTTGCTAGCACGCTTTCTTGATTTGGTTTGCTTTCATGTCTCGCCTTTGTGACATATCCATTTGTTTCTTTTGTGTCTGGACATCTGTCCTTTTGGTCGCGGACATTCGAGTTGTTGCTGCCAAATTGTGCGAGTTGTCACAACCTCTGTGGACAATACTCTATACGACCCCCCAACAGGAAACTCGCGTGGGGTTTGGTGTCAAAATAAATGCAGCAAATTGTTTATCTGAAAAAAAGAGCACAAACTCACTTCATTCTGGCCTAGGTGGGTTTGTAGGGGAGCCCCCTTTGGGTTGTTTTTAACAGCAAGCAAAAGGGACACCAACTATTATAAGACCCTCAATTTTGAGACACCCAGGGAAGGCGTTTGGGATGTCCGCCTGATCCGGGCGCCGCTTGGTGAAGGCGATGCAGAACAAGCGGACAACGTAGCCGTCGGTGGTCTTCACGTCCGTGTGCGCCTCGATCAGCGTCTGCCACTTCCTGAGATTCCAACGGCTCGAGAGCCAGCAAGTTAAGATACAAGTTTCTAGTGCTACCTTCCAATTCCATTCTTTCCAGGGACCCTTCTTTCTAGAAAACCTCCGGAAACGGGAAACGGCCGGTTTTGGAACTCCAAGAGAAACCAAGCCAAGAGCTTTTGACAACTTGTTTTATTGCTTCAGGAGTACCTGTTGATGGCTCGATACCCGATGTTTAGCGGGAAATCCGAGAGAAATCAAGATACAGGCCGGGGAAACCAAGAGCTTGGCCAGGGAACCTAGCGCTTGGCCAGACTTACGGATTCTGTTTGGCTAGGGAAACCTAAAAGAAGCGCCATGAGATTGGTCGAAGCCCAAAATCACACGTACCTCTAGGGGTTGATTCCTTGCCCATTCTTTTCAACCATCGTTCTTTTCAATAACCTGCTGTTTCCCCAAAGTGTTTGGTGGTTTTCTGAAAAGAAGGATCCTTGGAAAGAATGGGGAAGCTACCCCTAGAATACCTGGATTCCAGCGAGAGCCGCGAAAGGTGTGGCTAACGCGTTGCCGGTGAAAAGGGAATATGAACAAAGCGTTCAGCCTGTACAAGTGGATTGAAAGTGAAGATTTGAGGGGTGCTCAAACTTGCGGCGCCCGGTCATTTTGCGGGTTGTGGAACAAAAAGACGCCCCCAAACCTTTCGAAGCCGTTTGAGAGGGGTATTCATCTGAGTTCAGCGAGGCGTCTTGATCAAGGAGCAGATCTTGTCCCGCGTCAGCGTCATGCCGTGGAAGTCCGTCAGGCAATTCCGGCCCTGGACTTCCTCGATGCAGAGCCGGATCTTCTTGGAGGCCTGGCGTGCGAAAGCCACGGCTCCAAGTTGTTTTGGGGTATGGGTCAAAACAAAACCACCAGGAAACAGCATGTGTTGCCATGGTTTCAGTTACCAGGCGTCCAGTTTGGGGTACCTACTTTTGACCCACAGCCATTTGCAACAGTTCCATGGGCTCTACTGCAACCCCGAAGAAGCCACCTGCCAACAAGGCGAATTGGGGTTTGGGTGTTGGGGCGATGCTTAACTGTTGTTTCGAAAGTGGGGTGGAGACGGAATTCGTTGCTTTGTGTCTCATGTCCGGGTGTGTTCTTGGTGTTTCTGAAAGCACCAACTTAAAGTGGGTCGGTCTGGGTCTGCTTGCAGGGGCGGGTGCATTAAAATATGAGCCCCCAACATAGATTTCGGTCTTGGCTCCCTTCGTTTCTCTTAAACGTCAATCCCGAACTGGGGTGCCCTCAACAAAATGGATCTGATCTAGGGATTTGGACCCCAGGTGCTTTCCTTTTTGCTCACCTTTCCACCAGCAACCCACACCGCCTGGTCTTCGTCGTTGTTGAGGTCCGCCAGGTTCACCTCCAGCACTCGGCCCTTGAGCTCCTCAGTGGCGATCTTGGTGCCCTGGGTCCGGGAGACCAAGGTCTTGCCGCAGTTCCGGACCTCGGATCCGACCCGAATCCGGAACCCCCCGCTTCCGGTTTTTAACGGAAAACATACTGGGAAAATAAAAATGCAGGTGGTGGGTGCGCTATGTTAGCCACAAACCACAAACCTCCAGGAAGGGTTTGCTGTTTTCAAAGAACCCCAGACCTTTCGACCGCAGTTGCCAACCCGGAACCTACGTTGAGTCCTTTCTGGTTCATCATGTTTGTCAACGTTCAACCCTCCTAAACCGCAACTGTGGAAAAGCATGAAGGTCCAAGAATTTAAGAAAGAAAAGCAAATAAAGGTTGATGAAGGTCAACGCTGGACCTTCGTCAACTAACCTAGGAATGAAATCCTTTCTTGGTCTACTTTAGTCAAAGGCAAAAATATATAAGACATTAACATCCCAGGGACGGTGAACATGCTGGGCGCCTTGATGTCATACCACTCCTTTCTCAGAAACGGATCGCCAGCCTTCTTCTTGCCGCCCTTCTTCCCTCCCTTTGTGAGGCGCTTGTTCTTGCCAACAGCCATGCCGGACCGATGTCACGTGCGCACTAGACTTGAGCCTAGCACAAAAAAGTATGTTCGTGACTCAAACTCTCCCATTGCAAAGCACAACACAAACTGCATACTGAGAATGCTGGGCACAGCACTTTCGACTGGCTGAGGCAAGGCCTCGGCTTGCAAAAGGAGACTACCCAAAACAATGGAAACAATTGGAAGATAAGCCGCTCGTGTCTTTTTTTTTTGCAGGGATTGTCCCTCAGCCTTCATTTAATCGTTTTCAATTGTGGGAGTGAGGAAACCTTGCCACAGCTGTCAAAGCAGCTGAGCTCTTGGCTGGTGCCGGTCCTATGCGAGTGGCAATGAAAAACAGAGACATGTGCAGCACATGCATACCATCTTACAAAAACTAATTGGAAATGATCTTGTTTCTGCAACCTGAAACCTCGAGGTTCATGCTTTCCCTCCGGTATTCCTCTTCCCGCTCCAGCAAATCACTGCCTGAACTTGAAAAGGCTGGACAATGTAGTGCTGCACTTTTGCGGCTCAATACACATTTCAATGCATGTAACAATGGGTGTCCAGGCATGGAGGTCAGCCTTGAAAGCCTAGAGCTAGAGGTAACCAACGACGATTGCTCTGCTTTGCAATGTCAAATGCACAAACCTGACTCAGATGTTGGCAACTAAGCCAAAGCTTAGTTAAAAGGAAAATACTTGATCAGAAACTCTGCGTTTACTGACACATTGGCGAGTGCGGACCATACTTCTCTTTTAGAGTCTAGAGCAAAGCTGAAGGCTGAAGGTCCAAGCGCACCACGCATGACAAGCCATGAGGTACAGGCCTCACAAAGGAACCAAAAACGGCTTGTCGCGGATGATTGCCCGTCACAACACGATCACAATTCGATTTGCGCGAATTGTCGGTCCTGGAGGTGCAGCTTGTGCACCCTTTTGGGCCTGCGCCTGTTTCTTGGGATCCTCGTCTTCTGAATCCTCCTGGCATGGGATCCCTATGTGGGGAAGCGTGGGCCCCGACCTAACGTGGACTGCCAACAATTTCAGCTGGTCACGGCACATTGCAGTGGGAACACCTTCACAAATGGTTCGTGGACATGAATGCCCACCTTGATGTTCACCCAAGGGTCCCTATTAGAATCATACAGGACTACCCATTTGGAACCAGTTTCGCATGTTTGCAATGAACAAACGCCAGACTTGAAGGGTAAAGGCAGGTCCTCGTCGCTGTCCTCGCCATAACCGCCCTCCTCCTCAGAATCGGTCATAAACTGGTAGGGGTCATCAGGGTCCACCTGGCAGAGAAAGAAACCTGCCAAGCTGCCGAGCACCTTGCTACCCGTCAGCCTCTGGCCACATCTTTGTGAGGTTGCAGGCAATGTAGGCGCACACCTCACAGGGCTGACGGCCCATGAGAAGCGCTCCAGCAACACGTAAGCTCAGTGCCAGCTGGGACAGGCCGCCCAGCATCGCAAGGAAGAATGAAATCCTCAGCCACTTTAAGCCGCGCTGCATCACACGAAAACTCACGCGCACACAGACACACAGACGCACATGCACACAGACACACAGACACGCAGACACAAAGACACACAGACACACAGCAGACAGAAACACGGACAGACATATGCACGTACAGACGGAAACACAGACAGACACAGAAAGACAAAGAGACAGAGAGACAGACAGACACCCAGACAACAGAGACGACAGACCGACAGACCGGGCAGACGGGCACGCAGCCAGGCAGGCAGGCAGGGAGGCAGGCAGGGAGGCAGGCAGGCAGGCAGGCAGGCAGCCGTGAGACTAACAAACTAACAAACAAACAGACAAAACGTACAAAGAAACAACAAACAAACCAACAAGCAACAAACAAACACACGTACAAACAAACAACAAACAAACAAACACACGTGCAAAAAAACAGACAGACAGACAGACAGACAGACAGACAGACAGACAGACAGACAGACAGACAGACAGACAGACAGACAGACAGGCAGGCAGGCAGGCAGACAGACAGACAGACAGGCAGGCAGGCAGGCGGCAGGCAGGCAGGCAGGCAGACAGACAAACAAGCAAACAAACAAACAAACAAACAAACAAAACAAACAAACAAGCAAAACAAACAAACAAACAAACAAACAAACAAACAAACAAACAAACAAACAAACAAACACACGTACAAAGAAACAGCAAACAAACAAACAGACAGACAGACAGACAGACAGACAGACAGACAGACAGACAGACAGACAGACAGACAGACAGACAGACAGACAGACAGACAGACAGACAGACAGACAGACAGACACACAAACAAACAAACAAACAAACAAACAAACACATGTATGGACAAACTGGATGAATGCATTTGCTTGCACGCACATGCCAAGGTCTCCACCCCGGTGGAGGAACCGGGTACCAAGACTCCTCGTCGAGCTGCTCGAAGATGTTCTGAAGACCAAGCATGAATATCTACAAAGCGTGGAAGAGGGTTCCTTTTTGGATGTCAACTGGGCCAAGCAAGGTAGCCTTAAAGCTAGGGGGTCTCCTCTTGAGGAAATGGCCAACACTGGGTCTAAGTCTGGCTTGCAATCCAAAAATAACATATTGGCAAGCAATGCTTCAGAGCGCCTCTGTCAAAATGATCCAAGCGATCCCCGCCGCGAGGTGCATAACCGCTGCGACCTTCAAGCTCCAGCAACACAAAGTAAGTCACAATCAAAACATGGTATTAAAGGGGTTTGCCCATCTGTGATGGGACTGTCCCCTAACAGTGACTTCCCCCGGTTTTGATTGTGGCTCAGATGTTCCCTTCACGAAGGTAACTTGGGCCACCACTGGCCACCAACCGGCTGACCACTTCAAGGTGCGTGGGCTGAGTGCAACGGTCCAGTACAGGCATAGCCTCAGGTTGGATTGCCATGGCCAGGTGCTCAACCTGGACGGCTCTGAAAATGCGCGGACGCGGTTTCCCTTCAAACCGAGGGCAATTTTGAGGATGTCAATCCAATGCACCCGAAAATACATATGTTTATGGCATCATGCAACGCGTGCAGTTTGACTGAGGCAGAGGCGCATGGACGAGAACTCCCAAAGCGACGAAAAACAAGCAACCTCGCCACAACCAATTTCACATGAAACGAAGCCTTCGTTGTCTAACGGAATCAATCCATCCAAGGCTCCGTAGCTGATGATGCAAAGGTCGAAGTACAGATTGCATTTCAGCAAGTACCTCAGACCACAAGAATAAATGACTTGTGGCCGGTTTTTGGTTGCGCACCATCTGCAGATGGGCGAGATGCAGCTATTGCCAATCATCAGGTGGCCGTACCACTTGCCTCAGCTCATCTGACCCGTCCAGAGCGGTCCCAAGAAACCAACTGTGTTCGAAGCATTCCAAGACCGGAGATACTACAGGATCCCCAAAGACCTACATGAGCTTTTTTTACGGGTGAGCTCGCAGGAAGACCCCGCGCGAAAGATGCAATCATATGGCCCATGTTTTCAACTCATGCTTCGCAGACGGTGCACAATTCCACATGCCAAGCTGCAATTGTTGTCATACATCGTGTGGTGCAGCGTCATCCTCAGCTTTTCTCTCTCCGCAACTTCTGCGTCGTCTCAGGCCGCCACTTCCTACCTTGCACTGCTAGAAGTCCCCAGTACCTGCCAAGCTTAGCGCGATCCCGAGCTAAAAGCCTACTGGGTTGGTCCCTCCTGAAACCGAACAAGCAAAAGGTCGAGTGCGATCTTTTGTATGGGAAAGACATTTGTGAAACCAACAGGTCCTTTGGGGGCGTTTTGGTCACACCCAAGCCCAGCCATGTCAAGTACGGCCTTCTGGATCCGTATCCAATCAAAGCCACCTCGGGTTCCGTCTCCAGGTGTTGTTTGTGTGCAGTCGTGCATGTGCATCGCTTTGCATGCTGGTCAACAAGTATGTCTTACAGCCAACAAGCTGTCCGCAGATGCAAAGCACCGCACCCAGCTAGATCGCCACTGCGGAATGAGTAGAGAAGCAACGTTGAACAACCTCAGATGGAGTCCAAATGCGCTTTACGCATCTCCGGCCAGCGCACTGGGAGCGCCGCAATCCTATCGCGCCGACGATCATGGATGTTTTGGAAGCTTTGGTGTGCATAGTTCTCCCTTCCTTCCTTCTCTCCTGAACAGCTAGCAGTCCCAGTTCTCTGCGCGGGTGGGGGACTTTTTGGTATCCTTAGGCAGCACAAGGCGGCACAACGGTCCAACCAGGTCTCCAAAATTTGATGCTCGACTTTCTGTGCTGCCCGGCACTTTGTGCAAGCTGGACGAGCAAAAGTTCGAGGTCCTTGAAGGTGTTGGCCTTCCTGCGCTTCAGCAATTCTTCTTGCCATGCTCCTTGTGCCTGCACAGGTCGGGCCAAGCTTGGCTTCAAAGCACTTGCAGCTCGCATTTCCAGGAAATGGGAAGGGCAGCGCGCACTCACTACAACTCCAGAATCAAACAGAGCTGAGGCGAGGTCGTTCATCTTGCAACCTGGCGAAAGAAATGAGCCGTCAACACCCCATGGGACCGGATTCTATTGGGCAACGCTGCAGAGATGTTGGGAATGCACTTCTTAACGCATCCATTGTGGCGCTGCTGCGAAAGCAATCAAGTCACCCATTCTGAGTGAAGCAGTCGCAAAAGCGAAATCATCAAGCTCCCCACATTCTGAATGGGGATAACTTGGAACTGCGACTGCAACTACAAACGAGCAGTCGATGGAAACATGCGCAGAGCCTGCTTAATTGCCAAGTCTGCCATAATCTCTTCACTCCCGCCGTACACAGCTGCGTACTTGGCGAAGTTCTTCAAGCCTGTAATCTTGGCTCCCATGCCCGTCTGCGTCACTCCTCGTCCGCCGAGAATCTGTACAGTGTCATCTGCGATTTTCCAAGCGGTTCGGGTGGATTGGTACTTGAACCTCAGCGAGGCTGAGACTTGCAAAACGTCAACTTTTTGCTGATCCACAAGAAAAATCAAGGACATACAGGGGTGGAACCCTGGTGAACCCTCGTGGAACCTTACCTCAGGGCCGCCCGGACCACCCCGGAGCCTATCTGGGGTCTTTCAGCTATTGGGGAAAAATGCTGATCACAAGGAAAATCAAGAACATAAAGGGGCAAGAGTGCAAGGTGAGTCTGGCAACATGGCAATGGCCCCAGCAAGCCTGGCTCCCACAGGACCATGCTTGGACTTGCTCATGTCGTAGGTCAGAACCTCGTTGTAGCTTTGCACACTCTCCAGCGCCGCCACAGAAGAAGCAAGCTTGTTTCGGATCACCGCCTGCTCGATCAAAGGCTTTCCGAAGACCTTCCTCTGTCTGGCCCACATGAATGCATCTGCCAGGGCAGCTCTCATTTGCCCAAGCAGGATCTGGCAGATGAACCACCGCTCATGATTGAAATTGTACATGATCAGCTTGAACCCCTCGTTCTCTTTGCCCAGCAAATTCTCCACTGGCACTAGAACGTCATCCAACACCACAAGAGCCGTGCCAGCACATGCGGAATACGCTGTCTTCATCTGGCTCGTTGAAACTCCTTCTCCCCTCTCGACCATGAGCAACGAAATACCTGCCGGCGTGATGCAACGCGCATACACACACATGCGGAATTGAGGAAATGAGCCACGGTCAAAATATGCTGTTGCTCTGAAAAGACCTGGCAAAGTGAGTGAGTCCAACTAGCTTTTGGTTAGGAATTGAGCAAGTGCCATGTCCAGAACTGCCAGTACACCATGGACCAAACAGGATATGTTGGACTGAACCTCGCATGGATGCTTCTCAAGAGGTCCCCAAAATGGCAAGGGTTTCCTTAAGGTTTCCATTTACAAACCAAGGGCTCCCATGTGAGCCACGTATAGCAAGACACTCGCCCCCCCCCCGGCCAGCCTGCGGCGCCAGCGCCACCCGTTCGAACCGCTGTCACGAAGTAATCGGCGTAGGCACCCTCGGTGATCCACTTCTTCACTCCATTTACCTGGCAGCTGGCATTGCGACTGCGCCCCTTTAGCCAGTGACTTGTGGCTACCAGGATGTAATACAAAGGTTTACGTAGGTCTTAGCAACACCCGCGAGTCACCTCACCCCAATGGGTGTTTTGGATTGGTGGCTTGCCTACAGCACCTGCCCCTCTTTCAAGAAGAAATCAAGCCACCAGTTGGAAGTTGGCTCCAAAAATATATGGGAAGCGGGCGCCTTGTTGAGGGTACCCTTCTTGCAGCTCGGAAAAACATCCTCCACCGGAGACCCTGTCCGAATTCCCGCCGCGCGGCCACGAACTGCTTGCCATCCGGCGTCTTCCTCGCTGTCGCCTTGATCTGTGCAACATCACTGCCAGCGAAGGGCTCGCTGATGGCCAGGGCGCTCCTCATCATTGGCCAGACAAAAAAGGCAACATCCCCGCTTGCAAAGAGTTGTGCAACTTGTGCAACCTCAGCAGATGATAGACCAAGTCAGAGTAAAGCCGTTGTACTGCAGATGCTGATCATGCTCACGTCAAAAACTCCAAAGTCCTGGCACTTGGCTTTTGGGCCTTCCATTCACCAGCTGAATTGCAGGTCTGTTCAGCTGTGTCCAAATGGTTCTCAGGTCAGGGGGTGTAGGCTGCTACGAACAATTGCAAGGGTGGTCAATTGAGTTGGCGGCCACACCTTTCAGGAATCGCACATCAAAAGTCACACGCTGTGGCTAATTCACTTTTCTGAGACAGCATGAGAGCCGAAGAGTGTTACAAAGGAGACTCGGGCAACAGCATAAAATACGACGTACCCTGCTGCGGATAAAGACCTTACAGTCAGGAAAGGCATGTGTTACACATTTAAAGAACTGAAAACAAAAAAAAATAAGATGTGCCGTCTGCATGAGCAATGCGATTCTAATCTCCCACAAATGACCCGCTCCTCATTCGAAATCGATTTGCGCATCGCGCTGAGATTCCTCTCTTGTCGGCACTTGTACGCTGTGCACAGCTCATCACGAGCAGAGCATGCTAAATCGTTGCAGAAATGATCACTTTGCTGAACACTTCAAGTAGGAGGCCGGTATCAAGCATGTTTTTGTGTGTTGCATGAAGTCGAGTGTGTGACAAGAGAAAACATACATAGACTCGCAAAAGATTCTAAACCAATCTGTTGAAAACTCGTCCTCTGACCGCTGAGACAGAAAGCAGCAGCGTGATTACGCGTTCAAGCTCCAGCACTATGTGGCTACTCAAAAGGTTGCTTTGCTGAAACTGCAACCTCAAAAGAAACTCTATATACATCGAGGCTGTTGGAAGGACACGAATGCATGATCCGAGCTCGAAACATATAGTGATGCCTTTCTCACAGTCTTTGGCTTGGCACCAAAACGCATGGTGGTGGAGAATAGACTGCATGTTGAACCAGGACTGCCGAAACAACAATCCAAGGATGCTGCGTTGGAACGATTGCACGAGGAAAGAACAGATCTGCCATGAAGGTGCCCTGAGACACCGGAAAAGGCTGACCTCAAAACTGTGTCCGCATGAAAGCATCAAAATTGAGATGTCCTTCCTTCTACTGCCAGCGGTGGACACAACATCCAGTGCAGAAAGTCACCAAGATGCTGCAACACATGGGTGTGTGTGTGTGTCAAAATACGGGGACCCCCAAAACAATGGTTTCCCTTCAGACCCTCCTGAAAAGGTACCCTTCGCCTGCAAAAAAAAAAAAAACAGCAAACCCACCATGCCAATTGCAATCCGTGACTCCATTTCTGCCCTTGCAGAAGCTCCGCGCCGAGCTTTCTCTTCATCCACTCCGGCCCAAAGTGGTAGATCCTTGGCTCAAGGCCTCCAAGACCCCCAACATCCCGTCGCGAAATCGCACAGGGGCCGTTTTTTCCCAGGTTCCGCAGTTCCATCCAAAGAGAAAACCGGGATCTCGGAATTCCCCCAAATCCCTTCGGAATACATGGCCGTGGCTCAAAAACAGGCACCAAAAAATGGCACCTTGCTACATGGAACCAAAGACTAAAACCTGCGTGCCCCTGGCTCTTTCACTTTGCGCCGCACCCACATGGCTGTGGGTCAAAACCCTGTACCCCTGGTGAACATCAAAATAGGTGACAAATGGACGTTCATCCACCCCCAAATGAAGCCACAGGTTATGCCCCATGGCCACATTTGTCTCCGTCTCTGAGGTCGCTTCGCCGGTGTGGAGATCAGGTAACCAGCACCCAAGGAGTCCACAAAGCCCGGCAGCCCGATGCGGGCGATCTCTTGATGAGCGATAGCTTCCTCACGTCTTCCAACGGAGCGCACGTCTTTCTCCCACGAATCGCGTGCTTTTCATAAGGCGCAGCTAAAAGGAAACCACGGGAATTGAAGGAGTCCCTGAATTTGAGAAACACTCACCAAATGCACAGCTCGGATTTGGGCAGACCGGCAACATGCGTCCTGTACGTTGTGATGTGGGTCCTCTACTGGAGCACCCAATTATTTTTTCAGGTTTCAAGCATATGGCAAAAAAGACAACGACAAACAACAACATCATGCAGCACAATCTTTGTCACCGAGAGAGCTTGCCATAAAACAGGCAGGTCTTTTTCTGGGGCTGGGCAATAGAGGAGTGATAGCAGCCAGAGCTTGAAGCAGAGCGTCGTGAAAGTAGTCCACGTCCTTCGAACAAAAGGCGCCAACAGCACTAAGTCAAGGCCAAACGAGCCAAGTGGACACGTGCCAAAATAGGCGCCCAAAAAAAATCGCTCACTGTTCTCCTGTTTCCTTGAAACCACCCAACAATGTCGCGAACTCCCGGGGAAAATAAAAATAAAAAACGGCGCCCAGGTGCCGCACTCCCGAACAAAACTCGTCCGTTGGCCGGCCTTGGGGTCGATGTTCCCAGGCAGAGCGATTTGTAGCTGGCTGAGCTCGGCCAGCCAGGGCCCGGGCCCCATGCGGCTGGCCATGACTCCGCTCTGGCCCAGTCTCCTGGCTGCGCTTGCGGGTCGATTTTTGGAGTTGGTGCTTGAAGGGGAAACCACCTGAGTCATGGTCAAAACCCGGTACGAAAATGGCTCACCCAGAACCATGTAAAGAACTAAGAAGGCGGGCGCAGCTATTTATGGTTGGGATCGTCCCTTAAACTCCAACTACCCGGGCTTTGATTGTGGCTCTGAACTCCCCCGAAGGACGCCAAAGGAGCGAACGCCCATGCACGAAATGCAATCAGACAAGTCACCGTACAAACGACTTGAACTATCACAATGCGACGCCACGAGAAAGAAACAGACGAAGCGATTTTGGAGAATGGGGGACGCGCGCGTTGAATGGGCTCCGTTGTCCTTTAATGCGTCCCTTTAAACAAATATGAAAAGGGCACCACACATGATTCTCCGTGCAAGCGATCGGCACCCGTTTGTTCGAACCCGTTGAACGGGTCTCCGAGCACCATGCTTTGACAAAATGCACAAGCAAGAGGGTAAGCAGCAAATGGGCGACCCCGTGGCAAGAGTATGAACGCGCCCAGAATGATATGCCTACGAACTTCAATATGGACTCCCCTCAAAAGTGGTCGGTGGACATCAACGCCTAAATCACACCCATACGAGAAACATGAGAAGAAGAAAAAAGAACGACTGAAACAGTACCATGGGCAATCACACAATGTGGTGCGGGTAAAGTCGCGACATTGAGCCGATGAAAAACACACCAGCAGCAAGATCAACCGCGACGTTGTCAAAACAGCAATGAAAGCGCGCGCCTCTGCAAGTCTCTTGTCGGATACTCACCTGCCCAATTTAAAACAAAAATGGTGTGTGTGTGTAAGGAAATGGACATACTTCAGGACATCATGATGATGTCCATTTGTTTTGTTGCTGCTGCTGTTGCTGTTGCAACTGTCCCAGCTCAATCCGTGAATCACTGTCTGATGTTCTGTCTAAACAAGAACTTCTGCTTCTCTGAAAGGGACCTTCTGTCAGCTTCCGTGGGCTTAAACATGCCCAGCAATTGCGCTGCTGGCCTTTCAGGTCTCGAGCCGCTGCAATGGGTGCAAGCTCCGCATCCACGAAGGACTGCATGCCCTGACTCGCCAGAGAGTAAGTCAATCAGCTCTCAAAATATGACGCAAGCGCTTCTAAAAATGTGCTGAATTTACGTTTCATGAACCTTGGAGCTTAGCGATCCCGGTCCTGGACTAAGCTTCCTTACATTAGCAAATGTACCAAACACATTCAAATGTACATTGCAACTGACGACATAAACGGTGAGTCCTCTCGGAAGCGCTTGTGAGAGTCTGCGTAGAAAGGTGACTCCTCCGAGCGCGATGCATGTTGTCACAGAGATCTGCACACGCGGCACAAATCGGCAATCCTGGCCCTGAAAGGCAGGAATCTCCGCGAAGGGGACGCCTTTGATGCCAGTCACCTTTGACTGGCTTCCTTCAAGTCGGCCAACCTCAGCTGATTCCAACAGGGTTCCTTAAAGAACGCATCCAAAACCGCCTGCTCGGGCGGCAAACCTGCAAATCAGCTGGCTTGTTCTGTTTGAATCGGCCCAAATGCATCCTCTACGGGGGTCCAATGCACCCAGCGAAACAACATGCGCTCAGCCTTCAACTTCTCGTACTTGGTGAGGACTTCATGTCGATGTAACTCATAAAATTCTTCCGTGACATCCTTCCCACCCAGTTCCTGCCAGAAATCGAGCCACAATGCAGAACAAGATCCGCTTGGCTGTCCCTCTCAAGTTGGGTCTAGATCTAGTTCAAAGCCAGTCAGCTGACAATGATGCACATCTCATTGGTTCACTCGGGCCATCCAGCCGGCGCTTTTAGGCATCGCAGGTGGTTCTTTAACCAAGTTTCGCGGCCGAAACACTCCGCACAATGTCAGGTACGGCCGATGCCTCCAGCACTTTGGCGCCTCCAGGATGGAGATTCGCAAACTTCGACACCTCCACGAAAAAGAATCAGGCGCACTTTAGCGATTGATGGCGGGGTGGTGGGGAGCACGCAGTTTGGGGTGCTGTTGTAGATATTTACTTATTCATTGATATTGTATATATATATATAGAGTTTGGGGGTGAACTATTTTCAGACAATCCCACTGATTTCCGGCTGCCCCAAATTGGTGATTTGGATTGGTGGTTGGAGGGTTGAACTCCTTGCACAGTTTAAGTGGGAGACCCCTGGAACACCTCCTGGGCGCACTTTGCAAGACTGACGGTGCTCAGGGGCATGCAGTCGGGTGGTCTGGGTGCTGTTCAGGGTGCGCCAGCAGCATCTTAAACAAACAGCACCCCAAAACAGCCCTGCACCAGCACCCCAAACTGCACGCTCCCTAGCACCTCTCGCAAATCACTTTCCCTTCTTTACTACAAGTTAGAACCCCTATAGAATTCAGCTATCTGGGGAAAAAAATAAAGAACTGGCGACCCCGAAAAGGGTGCCGTCGAGAAAAGACACTCCCAAATGGTAGCTGCTTCCATTGAAACCCACCCACGGGCTCAAAAAAAACGCCTTTTGTGTGCGACTGATATCAAGCACTTGCCAGGCCACGTCATACACATCTCCATCAATGGCAAGCCAGAGGTTGCCTCGCAAGATGCATGCCAAAAGCCCCCACGATGCGCTCTAAGTGCATGGCTGGACCATATACGTGTATACTATTACCAAACTAAGTGCCTTCCCGACAATTGCAAAGCGTCAATTCCAACTTCCACACGATTGCTCCGGCATCAAACTTTGATGACGTGGCAGTCACCAGGCCTGGTTTGTCATGAAGCGCTAACTCCGCTGCGGAAACTTGTCTCTCAGCCATGTTGGTGTCACAAGCCAGCAATGATGGCTGAATGAGTCACTGATTAAAATGCATGTCATCACGTGGCTCTAGTTTCGGAGCCAAATAGCTGCCAAGTCTTTTTTTGCCTCAATCAGCTGCCAACAGTGCAACAGCAATGCTCAATTGTCGCTGCACTGTGGCAAATGTGCAATCGGCAAATCATGTGCACCTCTCGAGCTCGCCAGCATTCCAAATTGCAAATCAAAGCGTGGTGCCTGGAACTTCTGGTCGTCGTCTTCTCCGGCACTGGAGCCTTGCATGCACGTGGAAGCTGTGCCTCATTCAAGGTCAAAATCAAGAAAAATAGTACCAGCCTGTGTTAATGGATGCTGACAATAAAGAATGAACACGTCAGTTGACTGATCTCAGCCAAACGGCAAGCGGCGAATCACTGTGTTCCATGCTTCTGGCCTGCAATTAGACAAAAATAATGTCCAAATCTTGGTGGCAAACATGAATTAGTTCAGCTTGCAACATGCCAATAAAATACAACATGCTGCGGGAAAAAGCTAATGTGGTCCACATGCGGGATGGTTCCAAAGCACGTTTGGATGGAGAGTTGGCTAATATGCACAAGCACGAAATTGTCCACAAATCGCATTCGGCTACGCTGATTTATCAACAACTGCCAAGTGATAAGCATGCCCGCTCAAGAGCACTTGCTCAGCAATGAATCCACGTATGCCAAATGGTAAGCACACGCACTCAAGTACACCAACAAGGAATGCATTGAAAGTGACTTGTAAAAACTGTGGTCAGATGCTTCTGGGCAGCAAAGAAACTTGCTCAGCGGACTTGCTCAGAGGACTTGCTCAGGGAACTTGCGAAGAGGAGAAACTTGCTCACAGAGCTTGCTCAGAGAAACGCATCCTGCTTGAAGAGAAACTAGTTGAGAAATAGATTTCTGAGTCGCTGAGAGAACTTGCTCAGCAAACCTTGCAGACCGACCTTGCTCAGGGAACTAAAATTCCTCTCTATCTACAAAACAGGTTTAGGCGGGGGGTGAACGTTACGCACTCCACAAAATTGCGACCCTCTGCGAGGATTGACCGCGCGGCGGCCTTCAAAACATCAATCAAGTGGGTGGACCTACAAAAACTCGTGGAACATGCAACTTGGTTCGTGCACAGCGGGCAGGTCAAGCTTCAACCTGTGGAAAATGCAACTTGTTCCTTGCACCACACCACCCTCTCCGTGGAATCAACCTTCAAAACGTGGAAAAATGTGTTTTTTGGCCATGTACGTGCGCTTGGCATGGATCGGCAGGGTCAAGTCGACCCCTGTATATTGAATGGTTCATGAGGGTCTTTCCATCTAGCTCACGTTTCGCTTCACGGGACCAAATTTGACTCATTTCTCATTAGCGCCTGCTAGTCTTCAAAACTCAGACGTATCTCTCTTATTGCATGTTTTGTCGAATTCAGCTACGCTAGATGTGCGCTGGTTCGCAACTTGTTTGAACTGCTGGTTGCAAGCCTACGTCACAGAGCAGCGGCAAATGCAATCTGTTGACGTTGTTAACATCCCGAAACATCCGATTGACACTGGGCAGGTGGGGTACAAAAATACGCTTGTAAGGTGTCAAACTCGATGTCCAGCACGACGCCTTTGCTTGGGTGCGTTGTCTGGCTCTTGTGGCCCGAACAAATGGGAAACCAAAATCAGTAACGCGGGGCTCGGGGCCCCTTTGTCGCCAGGTGCTCACGGCTCATGAAAACTCATCCCAATTTTGCTCAAAGCTTTGACCTCGGCTTGCTGGACACTGGGGCCTCCCCCATACGCAGCCGTAAAGAGCGGGTGCCACTTATCGCAGCCACGAACGACGAACGGAACATGAGTCGTTTTTTGTGGGTACCCCCGCTCAGGTGCGCTGCTGCACAGCTAGACCTGCGCGCGATGGTCCAAACAACGTATTCGCAAACGGGAACGGCAATGACCACTACATCCCTGACTGCTGGCACCAAAGAAAAAGTTCTAGGAGAGATGACAGGGTATACCAGTATACCAGTACCGCCCTCTCGAATGTGTTTTTTTCTATACATCATGGTAATCCTCATGCACATGTAATGTTAACTACTAGATCCTAGATCTAGAAGATGTCTAGAGTTCAGCAATAACATTTGCTGGTCTATCGGCCGTATCTGTTAATTTACCAAACAAAAAACAAAACAAAAAAAACTAGCTTAATAGCCAAATCAATAGTACTTGTAGTCCGTCCACAATGCACGCCCTTTCGTGTGTTTGCAGCGCGGAATCGACATGGGAGTTATAGGAAACCTGCTCTAACCTAAAACAACCCAACCCTTGATACGAACGAGACGCGCTCTCCTTTTGTATCGAGTAAAGCCGCTTGCCTTAGTCAGAAGGGAGGGTGGGTGGGTTTCAAAGATGGAAACCGCATGGTTGTTTAGCTTGGAGCAGAAATGGCCACAAGCGGTGTAGATTCACATGCCCCTATAACACGGGGGAACAAACAACCCCTAGCGTTATAGGAAACATGCACTGCTCCAACCTAAAACAACCCAACCCTTGATACGAACGAGACGCGCTCTCCTTTTGTAACCGGGTTGCGCTGGAGTCTCTAGCTGACGCAGAGCGGTGCACTGCCGTGCACGGCTTCAGCCCCTCTTCTTGCGAGAGAGGGGGTTCTGGGCGATGTGGGCCACGATGCGTGGCACCACATCATGATTCTTTGCCCACTGCAGCCATGCCTGTGCGACTGGCTGTAGAGGGTGGCCTGGATGCGGTATGCTCCAATCTGCGGAAGAGCGCAACGGAGGGCCGGGAGACCCTGGAAGCTGGCGCTGCCGGCGCCGCAGGGCAGCGGCAACGCGGCGGGCCGGCTGACGAGACGGGGCAGGCCGGCGGCTGTGAGGCAGCTGGACGACTTCCTGGCGCCTCCGAGGCCCAGGACCCTCGACTAGCCTCCTTTGAAAAAAAAAACTGGTTTTTTTAGGCACGACCCGGCCTCCCTGCGTCCAGGGAACCTCGGTCGGACCCGTTTTGGCGCAAAAAAAAAACTTTGATCACACTCAAGTTGGAATTGCCTGATCCTGATCGAGCGAAAAAACTGGGAGAAAAAAGGTTTCGAGGCATTGCGCAGGCCCGTCGGAATTCCCGGACCCTGCGCAGCTCCTTGGGTTTGGGGTCCTCGGGAAACCAACGGGTTGGGCGAACCAATCAAATGAGCGGGGCTGGCATGGGCAACCCGTGCAAAACCGTGCAAAAGCTATTCTTCTAGTGTCTATATTGATATAGGCACTGGAAGAATAGCATTTTTTCAGCGCAAAACCGTAACCGCACAAATGTCCCTGGGTTTGGCTCTCCCCCCCAGCTCCATGCTATATGTGCTATATGGCCCCCAACCCGCTGAACCTCCACTCTCCCCCGGGTCCATGCTATATGTACTATATGTGCTTATGGCTCTTACAAGGCAACCCGCTGAACCTCCACTCTCCCCCAGCTCCATGCTATATGTGCTATATGTGCTATATGGTATAGAAGCCTGTATACTATACACATAGCATCTCCAACATGTACCAAATATGCATTGTATAGCACATATAGTGTATTTTAAAGCGCGTACAGAATAATATAGCACATATAGCACATATAGCATGGAGCTGGGGGAGAGTGGAGGTTCAGCGGGTTGCCTTGTAAGAGCCATATAGCACATATAGTACATATAGCATGGACTCGGGGGAGAGTGGAGGTTCAGCGGGTTGGGGGCCATATAGCACATATAGCATGGAGCTGGGGGAGAGTGGAGGTTCAGCGGGTTGGGGGTCATATCGCCCAACTGTGCGTCTTTGGGCAAGGCGGCCTCACGAGCGTGCCCGGCAAGGGTGCAG